GATTCGCAAACTATGACATCGGCCTTACCGCTGATTTTATCGCTAAGATTGAAGGAAAGGATCGGGTTGCGTCACAGGGCCAGCCATAGTCTGCATTTCCCATCATTAGACGAGAGGTGTTATAGCTACCCGAACATCTACTGAGGCACTTTCTTTTTAAAGGACGAATTCGCGATTAGAGTGAAATGTCGAAGAAGGAGTAATTCACCTAGTTGAGAGACCCGCGGACCTCCTAAGGGTGCGGACTGAAGCGCAATTGGCACCGAAGGAGTTGACCTCGGCGACCTATTCAAGGCTCAATCTTGGCGCGGTGGGCCAGTGCACGCCCACCGATCATCTGATCACTCGCCGCAGGTCTATACGTGGCGAGTGATGGATAGGTGAGAGAGCATAGTGTTGAGAACAGCGCGCATGAGCCAGTCCGCGATACGCAAATGCTAGAAAATCAGAACGGGGCACAAGGAAAGGGTCCCATTCGGTCAACAACCCGCCTCTCCCAGAAATGGAAGTAGTTTGAAATATGGTCGAAATATAGGGAAATAGGGAAATAGCAAAGGAAATGTTAGGGAATTTTTGCGGTTTTATGGGAAGTATATACCCCCGCCCGCTCGCCGGTAATTTTTTGGGGTAAAAATTGTATTGAAGGAGGGGGTCATGTGAAACATTTTATGAGGGAGAGGGTCGTAAAAACTTTTTGAAAAAAGTGGAGCAGCGATACAGGACGCTGACGACCTGTCCCATTTCTCAGGTTCTGGGTGTTTCTCATGGTTTTTCCTCCTTGGGTGTACCACTCATCATCGCTAAGTCACTTTGAAATTGGTTATCTTTCCAGCATGAATTCGTCCTTTAAGTGGTCGCGGCTGTCTGGTATCTAGAGAAATGCGGCAGCACTAATAGGCTGACGCCTATACAACAGGCTGCTTCCAACTTAGGATAGGATTAGTGAAGCGGGCGCGCGTCCTTTTAAAAGAAAGGATAGGACACAGCCCCTTGAATTTTTCACACTTAAAGACGTGGCCGTGGCGAAAGTGGACGAGCCGTTAGTGCTTTCATGTTGCGATCAGCTACGTCGAGGACGAGTTCAAAGGGCACGCGAACTGTGAGTGAGTATTACCGACTCGTCGTCCGCGTTTGTCGCAGCCACGCCTTCAAGTGTGAAAAATGTCACGGAGCCCGCTTTTATGGTCAGTCGTCCGATCATATACATCCATATAAATAACGATCGTACGTTTCCGATCAGCTGTGTCGAACAACCTGATGATCGATATGTATCTAATGCGCACAGTTTACGAAGCGCCTACCATGGCCTATACCCTTGTCCGTTAGTGTGTTGGTGAGCAAGTCTGCGTTCAATAGAGATGGGTGTTGGACGTTTGAGGCCAGGTCCACATTGTAAGGCGTGACTAGCTGGGATGTGTGAATTACACTATTTCGCTGAGAGGGCGCTACGCTACATAACATCGAACCCAGACCTTGCTTACTTATCGTCTGAGATAAAACTTTAACCCAGCCCTGCCCCTTCCCTACCAGGTTAGGCGGGACCACAGAAAGCGTATCCTTACTCTTTTTCCCTTCACCTCCACTAAAGTGAATGACCTCAGGTTAGGTCGAAATGGCTATTTGCGGGAACTTAAAGTCACATCAGTGTTTTTGGACGCTGAACACAAATCCGACTTCCATTATTGCGAAGTGATTCAGTTACAAAGATTGTTTCAGATGGGAGCCTCTTATAAGAGGCACCAGCCATGCAGCCATGCAAAGCTGAAATTTGCGCCTTATATAACATAAAGGGAAGTACTGCTGCCTTACTTGGAGAGGCCATGGTTCGGATCTTGCTCAACGCCAAGTTTCTGCTTCCCATAATTATGCTTGTTTCCGTTATGAAGAATTATTCGGTGCTGAAATAAACATTGTGCACAACGTTGTCAAGTATTTGTGGGAGTTTGCTTCGAAATTAACATTTTCGTCACAATATTTTCGTCCAATTATTTGACGTTTGCTTCCATGTCAGAAAAGGTGACGTCTCTCTCGACGATGGGCTAAATCAATGCGATATGCTTGTTCAGCAGATCAAACTATCTCTGAAGATTAACTTAGGATAATAAATCCGGCACTTTCTAGACCTAATTTTGAAAGGTTGGGTAACAATCGGTCGCTGGTGTTATCCGTAACCAGCAAGTGGATATCGGTCGAAGCAAATCTTTCCGTGACAAGGGGGGGGGGGAAGTACTTGTCACGGTGGGTAACAGGAAGTGCTATCGTCGGGGTCAGAAACGAGCAGTAACGAGCTCATCAGTGGCTTCATGGTATGGATGACAGAGGGGGGGGGAGGAGGTGTAGCGCAGCGGATATGTGAGGAAACACGATAAAGTGTACCCGGGTACATGGTACTAGACACTAGGCTAAATGTAAGCCCAGGAGAGGGGAGAAACGCTAGGGGGACAAATGTCCTCACATCCACACCACAAATCACCTCCCCTGCCTGAGACATAGTCCCGTACCGAAATTAGCCCCCCACGTGAATGTCCCCCCTAACCACATGAGCGCGCAAAAGTCATGTTCTTTCTTGCACCCACATCCGATCACGGTTTCTTAGATAAAGTGGAAGTGTGATGGGACCAGCAAGACCGCACCATATGCCACCTACCCCGCTAAGCGGTGCCTCGAACCGCATCCTCTCAGGTCCTTGTTTCTTTCAGAACATGCGCAACACTTTACTTAGATAGTCGGGGTGTCCCTCAACGGTTAAGTGGGAATCGTTGACAGCAAAAACAAGAATCACTATCGGTTTGGCGCGCATGTCGTAGGGTGGGGAAACACTGAAGCAAGTGGGCCACTTACAGAACTTAGGACAAAGCTTTAGGAAGGGGATGGGATTCTGGGGGAAGACGTGAGCAATTTTTGTTCTCTCTTGCGCTTCTTTCCTCTCCTGGGCTTACCAGGAGAACCTTTTTGCCAATAGCTCTGCATAATGAAGGGGTGCATGCAGGGAGTACAAAATTAGACTATTTTTTTTCTAAGTGGCTCCGAGCAGAAGTGGTGGATGACTTTCCTCGCCACATTTTCCAGTGAGAGGGGACCCTCAGTGAAAGATATCCGTGGGCTGCTAGAATCTCAGGGCCCGGATAGGCGGCTGCTTAGACGAAGGAGGACGAAGACAGTAATTAGTCGATCATAGTAAGACAAAAGTTTGATTGTGATCACAATAGCTATGAGTCGCTTTTGGGCGAGAAGAGAGAGAGAGAGCGCAGAGAGAGCATCAACTCGGGGAATGACCGAGTTACTCCATACTTTACCAACCGACATTGCGGCTGGGCATGTGGACGCAGAATAGAGATAACCCGTCTGCGAAGAAACTTCAAAATTATTTTGATCGCATAATAGTCAGTAAAGCATTGTACTACCATAGCGAGTGTAAGGCCGGTGTCGCACTTAACTCGCTGGATGGATTCGCAAGGTTTAACACCGGCGTAAGGATTTCCGAGAGTGGTCTTGTGGATATATGTCTAAAGCTTCCTATCGGAACTTATTACACATCACATTGCCTCATTTGAGAAATGTTTCGATATCGTCGGTCTTGCAGTCAATCTTGTCCGTCGCATGTGGGGGTGTAAGCTGTTGTTGAACTCACATTTACATCATGTAGTAGTTTCAGAACAGTTCAGTCACTGCCAAAAAACGCGAACAGCGCCTAGGAATCTACCGTACTCTCTTCTGACCGGCTTGTCATTCGGAGACCACTTCCATCACCCTTGTGGTGGTTTCCCTCGTGACTGTGTCCTTTATAATCGTGCCTTGTTGTTATCTCTCTTACGACGAGCACTCATCGAACCGATGCAAAACGCTGTTTTGATAATAAAATTTATTATTTAATATGTTTTAGTAAAGAAGCACGTGAAGAGTACGCTGCGTGTGTTTGCTCACTATGTGTGGGAAGGGGATTCAAAGTTAAATAGTCTAAAAGCTTGTTTCATGTTGATTTGTTCATCACCTCTCGAATTTGGACAGAAGCTGGAAGCGTTATCATCACCAATTGGTCAGGGATTGTGGAGATTACCCGGGCGGCGAATATGAACGCAGCGCCGGCTCTTCTGTCCAGGGTCAATCGTCCACGCAAACTATTGGAACGGGGGAGGGTCGTTTAGAAGTTGACTCGTTGCGGTGCGGGAGAGGGAGATCCGTTTTTGACTTTTTTTTGACAACTTTGAGGGCGGAATTACAGGAGTTTACGCTTTCTCACTAGAGATTACCCCCCCCCCTTCGCTGGTGGAAAGATCAACGGTCAAGCGAGGGGCTCCCTTTTCGCGTTTGCTTGAAGGATTTCTCTGTTTTCACTATCGGCGTGCCATTGAGCACCTCCATATAACCTATGAACCCCTCTGAAATCTACGTGCCGCTGCCTTTATTGGTTTTTCTGTGAATGAAGGTTTTTACATGCATTTATTCAATCTGATGAGTCACCTTGTTGTCTTTGCCCTAGCACGGATTCTGGCAGCACTTTGAAACCGGGAGAATAGGTGCTAATTGAGTTTCCTGACACTCCAATTCATCGCAAGCCCAACCGGTAGTACCACTCAACCCAAAAAAAGCAAGACGGATACGCGCATAACAGCAGAAACAGTAAACGAACAAAACTGCGCGCAAGATTACTGCAGTCTCTTGTCGCACACAGTCGCACTGAGGTTTGTTAAGTTGCCCATGTAAGTAGGAGTGGCAACAAAACTTGGCGCCGTGCGGGAAGAGCACATAGCCGCTTTACGCGAGCACAGTCCAGATTGAATTTTCTTGGTTCATACTGGGGTGAGTCAACACAATGTTTATTCCAATAAGCCGTCTTGTAAAAAATGAACTGCTACAAGTGTATAAGGCAACTGAGAGTATTATATATAAATTCAACAAGTTAACATCAAATGTCAAAATATCAACAACCATCTCCAATATCAGATCGAACAAAAAAATAACAGTAAATCCCATAACAAATAGGAAGCGAGCTTGAAAGATTATTCAACGACGAGAGCATTGACGACTTCATACACCTTAAACAAAGAAAATAGAAATGCGAAAGAAAATCTGTTTTCAATGCAAGACTAGTTAACCACGTTGGCGACAATGCCATTTTCGCGTGTCTGCCACGTGGGACCGCGCGCATTTTTCTTTGCGGGTCGACGTGGGGACGCATTGTCCAAGATGACAGTCTTTTTGACTAACATAACCTCAGGGGTCGCAAAAATTCATCGGAGACGAAACTTCACTGAGAGGGGTAATCAACGGTGCTGAAGCATGAATATGGCATTCGTTTTCAGCGCTGGCGTTCAGCGCCGAATTGGCGCCAGAGCCTGTTTTGCCTCCAATTTTGCTGTCAACATGGGAAAAGAGGTGATCGGTGGTCCTGAGCATGAAACTTCATCCTTTTTGGCACCCCGCCATTTTGCGACACATGGCGCGTTTTTGCAACCAAACACACTATAAACTTGGTAACAGGGGTAATCGGCGGCCCGAAGCACAGATATAGCATCCATTTCTTGGCGTGGCGCTAAATGGGGTGGCGCCAGTATACGGACGCTATTTTCATGCTTCGTCAGGACCACCGATTATCCCTGTTCCCACACTATGAAACGGATGCCATTTTCATGCTCAGGACCACCGGCGACCCCTGTCAACAAGTTTACAGCGTAATTGGTGGCAAAAAAGGCCGTGGCGCCATGTGGCGCTGGCGCCGGACCAAGGTGTCTATAGGTGACACGGAGCCTGCTGAGCAAGGTGTGATTACTAGAAACTTGGAACATGCGCTGTGAAGTTTTTTATGCTGCATTCCAACATCGACCCGCAATGTCGCCAATGGGTTAATAAATTAGCTCTTAAGAAATGAACTAATCACTCTCACCTCATCATACAACTCTTGGTAATCAGCATGGGGCCGAATAAGAAGTATAATAGCCGGACGTCGGTGACCTGCTGCTAGACCTAGCTGCTCACGCGATGGTGTAAAAGCGTATGGTATATCATGCTCTTCACATAACGCAGGAATATGCGAGTAAACATCTATTGGGGTCACATTACCTGAAAGAATCTTTTGGAATTCGTTTTGTTGCACGAGAAAATATACGCTAACCTGCAAGGACCATAATGCCCTTCTCGTTTTTACGAATCGCCTTTTGAACGTCTTTTAGACCCTGTCGAAGATAATGTTGGTGTTTGGCAGATTTCTTCACCAACTTGTATAATTTTTTGGCCAATTTCCTGCTTGCTAACGGCTTCGCTATAACATTCACCTGGAATTATTCCACATCGTACAAATGAACAATGGCTTGAAAACATCGATCTAATCAAAACGTCGGGGAACACAATTACTTCCCCTCCTCCACCCCACAGACTAGTGTTGTAATTCGAACTTTATACACAAGAAGCATTTATTACCAATGAATCAACGCTATCTATTTTACTCTGAATGATTCTAGACAACTGAAATTTACGACCATACTGTCTATAAAAAACGATTTATCACTGAACTGGAGCACAACGCGCTTCTTTTTTGTTTCAGATTGCTCACAAATAGTCACTACTAACATAAAATCACTTATTGTTGTCCGTACTAAAGTGATAACAATGCCCCGTGCTGTTGAAAAAAGTAGAAAAAAAAAAGAAAAGATACGCAAAACTCCCCCCTTTTAAACACTCATATTCTCAAGCCAGTGAAAAACAGCGCAACCACGAGCCCGTGTCCACACTTTTAATTAAAAACCTAGCAACATTAGAGTATGTACTGGGCTGATGCGTGATTATTGCGGATTTCTTTCGCGCACTCTTTTATTTCGAAAATGATTGACGTTTTGTTTACTTTTTTCACGAGAATATTCTTCCTTTCTTTCATTAACAGAAATGCTTATCGAAAATCATCTTCATGTTCGTCACATATGCTCTACCACCTCGAGAAAGTTTGGAAAGCGGCAGAGTCATTTCGCGATCTCAACGAAGTTTTCGGCGAGGGAACAATCAGCAGAAGCCAATTTGAAAGATGGTTCAAGGTGTTCAAAACGAGCCACGTATTTACCGACCAAAGCTCCTACAGACTACAACTTCAATCAGTCGTTGAAAAACTGGCAAACGAACAAAATTTACGACGAGCTGGATGACTTGGTGGCCGATGTTAGAGCGTGGATCGTCTCCAAGAATCGTGACTTCTTCACCGTGGAATCGACCGACTGCCAAGCAAATGGGAAGCATTCTTGAAGATGGTGACTACGCTCCGGAATAATCTTTTGGCATGTTTTGTTAAATATTTTTATCGTTTTCGCTGAATAAAATTTGTTGAAAAAGTCCGCAATAATTATGCATCAACCCAATATTACCAACATAATGGATCCCTCTATTATATAAACAACCTTGGTATGCCGTTTTGTTAGCATTTGTGCATGTCCATCGTTATTCTTGTCAGCACGTCCGCAAAACGAACGTGGATGTGATGAGAGGAATTATACAAGCCCACCGCTATTAGAACTAAGAGCTGTTCGAGTTCTCATTCACTGGGGAGACGCTGCGCAGTCGACAGTTGCTGCCGCATACAGCAATTCAACTTTTGCAGGAGAAGTGAATTCCCGGGGTGCGTGAATTATTTCGCCTTTTGCATATACACCCACTCAGAGCTTCCTCGACCAGCGAAAATTTGAATTACCTCAGGCGATATGAATTGTCGCACACACGTCCCCCTTAGCAGAAACCCGCTATCCGATCAACTAGTAATACATCTGTGTCGCCACATACGGAATCACGAAAGAGGCCTTCATCAATTTAATATTCTGTAACGCCAAGCTCCTAAAATGTTAAGTCTAAATCGAACTAATGATTTGGAGTCAGACCTACCAAGGAGCAAAGATGTTCATATTCATCCTTAGCAGTTGTTGGTGCATCCACTAAAGCACTTTCATTCAAAGAAGCATCTGCTAAACTTTCGTCTCCGTTACGTTTCCCCATTTCGTAAGAAAAGTGCTGGAACAGTTTATGTTTTGACCAGGCACGCTACTTACATTTCTAAGAAGACACTGCAGATAACAAGAAAAGTATTGAAATGGTGAGATACCAATAAACCATCACTCAAAAAGGAAACAGTAGCATATTTATTAGGCTGCAATTCAAATTTGATGCAAAACAAAAATCTGTGGTTGCTACGCCTAATGCATAAAATCCATCAAAGGTATAAACGTAACAGGAAGGTAATGAAGATATTTTCAACAAGTTTAACAAACTAATCAACTCCGACGATACTATCCACAAGGAAACAGATAACATCCTTTCATCATGACCGGCAACGGCAAATAATAGTAACAAACGTAACAATTGCTGCAAACAATATCACTCGCTATCCGAGAACTTTATAGAATTCACTGCCGTGTTGATGGGTCCTCCACCATAACTTCCCTAGAGAACACATTAAATTAAAACCTGGACAATTTGGCTAGATAATGTCACAAATCCATCCTAGAAGGATTAAGCTTTTTAGTAGTCCTCCACCTTCTTCTTTTTTGTTTTTTCATGCCGGAATCCTTTTCCTTGCACTTTACTTAATGATTCGTGTGCTTTAGCTCCCCATTGATCGTGCGACTGAAATTAGGGCATAAGTAATAGAACCAGAAAAATGCCAACTTTACGGCTTGAAATACACGCAAAAGTGTAATTTAAACCGCATACCTTATTGTAGGAGTTGTCCTTGAATTTAGCCGGAAGAGAATCTTTTGTTATGGTAACTCGACGGAATGGTTCATTTGATTTTCTCTTAACATTAAACGGATTTTGACGAAAGCTTTTGACTATGAGAAAGAAAACCTCTCAAAATGGAATGACAACACAGTATAACAAATGTTGTTTGAAACAAAGTGCAGCCTGATACACATCGTAGGGAGAGAGACGTGAGAAAGTGGAGAATGGTGAGAGATCGGAAGAAGGCACTGATGGAGAGGAATAAAAGTGGAATATGATTTGATGACAGCTAATCATTCCTCCCCTCCATTTGTATTATACCAGCACACGTTAACTTACACGTTTCTAAGAAAAATGCGCAAGCTAAGCTTATTTTAGATCGATATTGAAGAAATCGTGATCGACGCTTTTAAAAGCGAGTGTTCGCTCTTGCAACCACCGCTCCCAAGGTCATCATTGCTCATACCTAAAGGAAGAGAAAAGAACGAGAAATTCTGTTGCTGTTTTCACTTCTTCCTGTTTTTTTTTTCATTACGGATGCCAGCGGAATCACGCGGCTTGATAGTATAGGCTCCCTGTCATTCTATGCTCAATTGTCTGACATATTACCTCATTACTTTCTGTAACTTCAGGGAATTCATCATTTCTTGTAGAAACTAAATTGAAACAAAATGCTGATTCAAGAAAAAATTTGCGACCAATCAAACGTCAACTAACTCAAAAACCTCATTCGTTATTGAAGGCTAAGTTTATGGCTCCCCCACTTTCTTCACGATTTGGGGCGCGGCCGCGGCAAACCCGGCGGCCGAGTAGTGCGGCATCAGCTTGCCTGAGTATTCGACGTTACATTACGTGTTAGTTCATCCGATCGTAACGACACGTAATGTAACGTCGAATACTCAGGCAAGCTGATGCCGCACTACTCGGCCGCGAACGCCGCGGGTTTGCCGCGGCCGCGCCCCAAATCGTGAAGAAAGTGGGGGAGCCCTAGGTTTATTTAGGTACTACCGCCGCCCTCACAGCAGATTTTGCCTGGCCTTAATTGATGTAGCCAACAAAAAATGGAAAGAATTGCGAATTCAGCAAGAAGATATGGCTATAAAATATTTGCCCAAACACTCATCGCCCCAATATGCCAATATATAAAAGTTTGCTCTCTAGATTGTATTTTGACTGAAGATTATACAAAAACACAACTTACTGGGAACGTTTTTTGTCCGCTACCATGCTTTCCTGAGTTTTCATCACCAGGTGTCGCAACGTCCTACAAGTAGTTGTAATTATATATTCAGTGGTCCCAAAAGCTGAGAGAATTGGAAGGATGAGGTTGAGCAATAAAAATTCACAAAAACGTCGCATTTATAACCAGTTGGCGAAACTCGTGGTTGCGTGCGCAGCACAGTGGCGCGGCGATATGGAATTGTGAGGCGACAATCTCAAATTCAGCCTAATACAC